GCGTGCCCCTCCAGGGCCTGGGGCAAATTACCCCACTTGAACCGCGCCCCCCCCCCCCTGTGGGCGGCCCTGGAGGTACTTATCAACATATCTACCAGATGCATGTAACATCAGATGTACAAGAGTCTCTACTGAAAATAGCAGATGTAGTTGAAGAACGAATGGGGAGATTTGTGAGAGGTGCACTTGATTATGATGTGATACGCAGCTTTTTCAGCCCAGTCAAGAAATCTGGCATAAAAAACATTTGCTGATATGTCAAAGATCACATTTAAGTCTGGCAGGGGAGAGACAATCACAACAGCTGTCAGTCCAGAAGTTTTTTTCCTCAGAGCCCTGTCCTGGGCAAGATGCAGAGATATTTCAATGGCGTCTGTTCTTAGGCACAGTCCTATTAGGTGACTATGTCCCTCTTCCACTGAGAAGAACAGACAAAGGTGAGTTAGGACATCAGCTGAAAGCTTAAGCTGAAAGAATCCATGAGCTAAGAACATGCAACAAAGAAACCACGTGTATATCAGAGATGCCATAGCTTTAAGACAAATGATGTCTGGAGGCAAATTCCACACATTTGATGAATTGTCTGCTGAGTACTCAAGGCACGCCCTAAAAAGATTTTACCAGGTTTATTTTGTAATCAGAGTTTTTGACAGATTGAGAACAGGAACTCTGTGAAAACTGCAGAAAGACAGAGCCAGACAGGATCTAATGTCAGATGCAAAGAAATACCGGGTGGAAGTCCCGTGCCTCCATGGAAAAACATTCTAAACATGGCATCCAACAGGCAGTCACTTGTAAAATTCCTTTGTGAATATATGGAGCACACCCAACAAAACGCATCATCTTGCTGGAGGCTTTTCAAATGGTGAAGTAATGAAGTCCATCACCAGTAGAGGTATTGAAGAAGCCCAAGACTTGTACAGTACTCAAAAGGAAACAGACACAAGGATGCTTCTGCATTATATATGCCAATATGGCTTTTGGTGTCAAAGGAACCATAGTAATTAGGTCACCTGATACAGATGTTTTGGTCTTTGCTGTTCATTACTTCCAAAAATGGAACACACAGATAACATGTGGATTGAAACAGGCACCATTTCCAGCACAAGTAACAAGCAGTGCTTCATATTTGTGCATGCAATTTGTGATGCACTCCTGACTTTTGCAACATACTTCCTGCTGTACAATCATTAACAAGATGTAACTCAGTATCATCCTGATTTGGTATTAGGGGAAAAAACCTGAGTTTAATGTTGCAAAAATTAAGGGAGCTTACTGCTTCAGAGGTCTGGCCAAATTTGAACAGAGTGATGGTCAAGGAAGTTGGCAGCAGTGCTGTATGACCAGAGTGAGAAAGAAAAGGAGACCCACAGAGACCTGAATTGATTGTGCCTCAATCTAGCCATCTATGACTAGACTCCCACCATATGAGGACCGTTCCGAAGAGCATATCAAAGAAAGATATCACAAAGAAAGATTTTAATGTCTTCACACATAAGTAAACCAGATATTGGATCACTATTGCAACATGGATGGAAAAATGAGGATGATGAACTACTTCATGTATTCTTCAAGGGCCCAATGACATCTGAACTTCGACAAGATCTTATTTATGTCTATACCAGGAGAAGTCACTGTGCAATCTTCCCTGTACAGAACTGTGTACATGCCAATGCAATGAAGACTGGTAACCCATGCAGTCTTGACAGAGGCCATAATGATAACAAGATGATAAGTATGTAAACTAGAAATGTCACTGACACTGTTACATTTCAATGATATCTGTACAAATTTATTACATTAGTTTTATCCTTTTCATTGTTTTTATGATGCTTTGAGGTCACAAAGAAATCCCATTTTATGTCTTTAAAGAATACATGGAGTCATTAAACTAACAAAAGGAAAAAAGAAAATATTTCAGTGGTCATTTTAATGTGTTGGTAGTGTCATTGTTTATCCCCTGTTTTTGTGGTAATGGCACTATTGACAGCTCCACATCACACCTCATCTTAAAGTACACATAATAAGCTTTCAAATTATGTATAATATGCTTGTGTGTAGAAGAGATACATTGTCAACAAAATCTTGGTGTGTGCCGTTTGCCTATTATAGAATCATAGAAATGTTGGACTGGAAGGGATCTCAGTATGTCATCTTGGCCATTCCCCTGCATAAAGACAGGACTGAATATTATCTAGACCAAGGGTAGGCAACCTATGGCACGCGTGCCAAAGGTGGCATGTGAGCTGATTATCAGTGGCACTCACACTGCCCGGGTCCTGGCCACTGGTCCGGGGGGCTATGCATTTTAATTTAATTTTTCATGAAGCTTCTTAAACATTTTAAAACCCTTATTTACTTTACATACAACAATAGTTTAGTTATATAGACTTATAGAAAGAGACCTTCTAAAAATGTTAAAATGTATTACTGGCACGTGAAACCTTAAATTAGCGTGAATAAATGAAGACTCGGCACACCACTTCTGAAAGGTCGCCGACCCCTGATCTAGACTGTGCTTGGCAGGTGTTTGTCTAACCTGTTCTTAAAAACCTCCAGTGATGGAGATTCCACAACCTGCCTAGGTAATATGCTCCAGAGCTTAACCATCCTGACAGGAAGTTTTTCCTAATGTCCAACCTAAATTCCCTTGCTGCAATTTAAGCTCATTTCTTCTGTCCTCTCCTCAGTGCTTAAGGAGAACAATTTATCACCCTCCTCTTTATAAAAACCTTTTATGTACTTAAAGAGTGTTGCCATGTCCCCCATCAGTCTTCTCTTCTCCAGACTAAACAAACCCATTTTTAATCTTTCCTCATAGCTCATGTTTTCTAGACCAGTTGTTCTCAACCTTTCCAGACTACTGTACCCCTTACAGATGTCTGATTTGTTTTGCGCACCTCAAGTTGCACCTCACTTAAAAACTACTTGCTTACAAAATCAGACAAAAATACAAAACTATTACTGAAAAATTGCTTACTTCCTCATTTTGTCCATATGAAATTTTAGTTTGTACTGACTTTGCTACTGCTTTTTATGTAGCCTGTTGTAAAACTAGGGAAATATCTAGATGAGTTGATGTATCCCCTGGAAGACCTTTGTGTACCACCTAGTTGAGAACCTCTTTCTAGACTTTTAATAATTTTTTTGCTCTCTTCTGGACTTTCTCCAGTTTATCCACATCTTTCCCAAAGTGTGGTGCCCAGAACTGGACACAGTACTCCAGATGAGGCCTTATTAGTGCTGAGTAGCGTGGAAGAATTACTTCTTGCGTCTTCCATAAAAAAATCTCTGAATGATGTTCACTTTTTTTTGCAGTGGTATTACATTGTTGACTTGTATTTAGTTTGTGTTCCACTAAAACCCCCAGATCCTTTCCTACAGTACTTTGTTGGCAGTCATTTCCTATTTTGGATTTGGGCAGTTGCTTATTCCTTCTTGAATTTCATCCTATTTATTTCAGACCATTTCTCCAGTTTGTCAAGATCATTTTGAATTCTAATCTTGTCCTCCAAAGTACTTACAGCCCATCCCAGCCTGGCATCGTCTACAAATTTTATAAATGTTCTCTCTATGCCATTATCCAAATCATTTATGAAAATATTGAATAGAACTGGACCCAGGACAGATACCTGTAGGACCCCACTTGGTATGTCCTCCTAGCTTGAGTGTGAAACACTGATAAATACTCTGAGTTGTGCACCCACCTTATATTAGGTTTGTCTAGTAACTCTATCTAAGTTGCATTTCCCTAGTTTGTTTATGAGAAGATTGTGTGAGACAGTATCAAAAGCCTTACTAAAGTTGAGATATATCACATCTGCTGCTTCCCCACTATCACAAAGTTTGTTACCCTGTCAAAGACGGATATTAGGTTAGTTTGACATAATTTATTTTTGACAACTATATGTTGACAGTTACTTATCACCTTATTATCTTCTGGGTGCTTACAAATGGATTGATTATTTGCTCCATTATCTTTCTGGGTACCCAAGTTAAGATGACTGTTCTATAATTCCCTGGGTTGTCCTTATTCTCTTTTTATAAACAGGTGCTATGTTTGCCCTTTTCCAATTCTCTGGAATTTCTCTCCTGTCCTCCACAAGTTTTCAAAGATAATTACTCATGGCTCAGAGAGCTCTTCAGGCAGTTCCTTAAGCATTCTATGATGTATTTTGTCAGACCCTGCCAACTTGGGGCTTATCTCCACTTAAAAACTTACAGTGGCACAGCCATGCCTCTGCAGCTGTGCTGCTGTAGCGCTTCAGTGTAGACACTACCTATGCTGATTAAACGGATTTTCCCATCAGCATAGGTAATCCACCTCCCCAAAAGGCAGTAGCTAGGTTGATGGAATAATTTTTCTATCAACATGGTGCTGTCTACCTGAGGAACTTAGGCTGGCTTAACTATGCCGGTCAGGCATATGGGAAGAAGGAATGAATACATTGTTTTTTGAGTAATATTCTTAGTGCGTGCTGTTGATAAGTTATAATTTTTAAAGTGTTGCTAAGGATGAGAATAGCCTTTTAAAGTATTTAATGCATATCATAGGAAGTAACAAATGGGCTGCAATGAGTTACACTGAATTTACTCCTTTTTCCTGGTTCTGTGAACATCACAAATGATTCGAGCTCCATTCCCCTGATTTATGATGTCATTAAAATCCCTTAAGAGAATTACTTTCCTGAAAATCACTCTAGATCATTTATTATTCTCCAATGTGTGTTTCCTGTATAAAAATTTTGGGGAAAGGGTCATATTTTTGAATGCTTTGAGCATGATGGGGGAGCTAATTTTTAACAGATAAAGTTATTGATGTTTTTTTATAAAGTTAGCATATTACTTATACACAGGCGATCAATAACATTCACTATTTATGTACTGTGTCTATTCCAGTAAAGCCATATCCATGACACAGCACTTTCTTTCCTTGGCTGAGTTTAGCACCAGCTGTATCTTTTACTGTTATCTGATTTCTTTATATTTTTACCTCTTAGGATTTGATACCAGCATTTTGCCAATTTGCAAGGACTCCCTTGGCTGGATGTTTAACAGACTTGATACGAACTATGACCTACTGTTAGACCAGTCAGAGCTTGGAAGCATTTACCTTGACAAGAATGAACAGTGCACCAAGGCATTCTTCAATTCTTGTGACACGTACAAGGACAGTTTGATATCTAACAATGAGTGGTGCTACTGCTTCCAGAGACAGCAAGGTAAAAGATGAGAATAACTTGCAGATGCTGACTGACCTTATTGTACTGTTTTATCTTTTGGGAACATGTTAAAAAGTTTATAGTGAATTACAAGCACTTAAGTGCTATGCTATGAATTTGTTTAAAGGTTTTGAGCCACTGTGCATATAAAGTGAAAAAGAAAGCTAAAAACCAAGCTGAGCTGGAGAAACTTAGCTGAGAGTCAAGAAATTCTAAATAAAATGTAAAAGAGCAATTAATGCTTTGATAGAAGCATTGTTTCTGTTACCAACCGCCACAGAGAGGAAAGAGAAGGACCAAAATAAAAGGACAAAACTATTAGCATTAATTTTCTCTCGTTTTTCCCACATTATAAAATTAACTTTTTATTAACTTTTTTACTACCAGGTTATAACATTTTAACTGAAAGAAATTCAATGTTATGCATAAGGTTATTTGCATTCATTGGGCCATAAAGCCACTGATTTTCAGGACCTAGCTTAAACTCTTGATAACTTCTTGAAATTCTTTGGTTAAGAAAATAGTAGCTCAAAATATCTAGAGGCAATCCTTTCTTAATTGTCCACTAATGTAAATTAAATTAAACTCAAATAACAATTTTATATCTGAATGACATATTCCATAAGTTAGAAAATAAAAAAATGAATTAGAATAAGATTTTTGAAAAGCCTGCTCACTGTTTCTTAGCTGAAATGGAACAGAAAATTGAAATGCATCCACTGAGCTTCTTATTTGCAAGATTATTTAGGACGAGGTTTTCAAAGGAACAAATGGCAGTCAGGCACCTAACTGCCACTGAAAGTAAGTTGAAAATGCCTTTCAGTGGGACTTTTATTCCTACTCACTGAAGCACTTCTGAAACTTTTACCTTATGTGCACAATTGTGTCATTTATGCCTATGAAAATCCCCTACTTAAGTCCCATTAACGTTCATTATTAAGGCTTAAACCTGACTTCACTGGGAGTTGAAGACTCTTACCACATTGCAGGGTCAGACTCTTAAACTCTCAATTATAAATCTGAACAAAAATAAGAATACTTCTGGGGATATATTTTGGCTAACTGCCTTCTTTCCTATTTAAAACATGCTATCAAATATAAGCATATTGATAACTATTCAACTAACTAGTGCAAAAGGTCAAGATTTCATCTTCCAAACAATCTTTCTTGCTTTATAATAGGACTGTCTTTTTTTTTTTCATTTTTAGAAGTAGTGTACTGCTTCAATAAATGAAGTATCCTCCATCTCAAGTTGCTTATTAAAGAACATAACCAGTTCTTTTTAAAGAATACACTTATTTTAGATTAAATTATGAATATTTTGAGGGGTGCATATTTGTTCAGTTGTCTGAAAAAGTCCAGTCATGTTACAACCTGTAAGATCAAATTTATCACAATTTTTTGTTCTTCTACCAATTGGTTCTCCTGCCAGTTTTATACTGTATATATCAGTGGTCCCCAAACTTTATTTCTCGCACCCCCCCTTACCAGTAATAGAATGTGTTTTCCCCCTCCCCAGGAGTGGAGTCACAGCTGGGAACAGACAGCTGAGAGCGGGAGCCGGGAGCTGGTGACCAAGAGCAGGGGCTGGGAGCAGGACCACGTAGCCAGGGCCACAGCTGCGGACTGGGTCGTGGACCGGGGCAGAGTAGGGCTGGGTGGCACTCCCTTCCCACTCCCTCATGGGGCCTGGCCTGGGCCCTGCCATGCCCCACTCGGGGAGCATGCCCCTCTGTTTGGGGACCACTGATGTATGTATAAAGCATACTTTTCACCCATTGTGTGCAAAGGGCACTTCCATGGGATAGTTATGGTCAGTTTTGAAGTCTATACTCTATAGACACTGTGTATAAAAACAACTGATCAGGATACTGCTAATCAGGGTCTGATGTATATGTACCTTAGTCATAGTAATAAAAAAGTTAAAAATGGAGTCGAACCTATCAGCAGCATTTAGTGGAGAGTTCTCTCCCTGTCTCAGAATCCAGCAAAGGGACTGGCCATCACAAGGTTTTATCCTCCTCCCTCGTTTCCCCACCCCCTTGCCTATGATGGCACAACAAGGTGCTGATTTAAAAGAGATTAGATTGCTGGTGTTATCAGCAGCTTGGCTGAGAGTGGGCATATAATGCCTCAACACCAGTAATGATGTGAAATTTCAGTTCTGGCAACTCCTTGAACATTTAGAACACTTCCATGCACCCCTTCCCAAAATTAACACTACCACCAAAACCTGTCTTCTCCTCCCATTGCCAGACCTAAATATGAGGGGGGAGGGGGAGAGAGTCACTGTTCTCTTTGTCAGCTACCTATTATTAGCCCTTTTATGCATAATTGTTTCCCCTTAGAATGAACAAGCCACACAATCCTCTAATAGTAAATTTCAAAATTTCAGTTTTATGCTAAGCCTTGTAATGTATTGGTGTTTTTCTGTATTGCTGGATTGCATAATCTAAATATTTCTCTAATTGTTAATTGTGATAGAATTATTAGGTAGAGAAGATTAATGGTGTCCTTGTAACGTTCATTGAGTAAGTTTCCATTAATAAAAAGTTGTAAGTCATGTCGCCAGCTCTCTGTATTCAGCTACCTTTGTAGCTCTTTTCTGTGCAATTTTACAGCTCCAATACACAGTGTACAGATCTTGATAACTGCTATTGATTGTGTTCAAAGTGAATACAAGAATGCAACCTATGTAATATATCACAAAGGCTTCAACGCCTATATATATTTAAGACAAAGTTGTTAAAGCTACCATCTATGCAGGAGTCTCACTCCTTGGTCTCAACTTCTTAGTGCAAATCCAGTGGGATTACCCCAATCCGTAGGATGTTTGGGGGTGTTTTGCCCTTGAGGAAAGTAATAACAAAGTAGATAGTTAACTAGCTCTTAGTGGCTATTTGCACACCACCCCATGTTGATTATTAACACTGCCTTCCATACATTCCAGTCAGTTCCTTCTTGAGCAGCAAAAGTGCTCCCTGCACGTTTACTGTTGCGCCAACACTCCTCTGGATCTCAGCGATGCTTATCATATCTTTTCTTGGTCGCTTCTGCTTCCAGGCCAGGTGGTTTAGTGTTTCTGAGTTTATCTAAGTGCTTCAGCACCTGCCTTTAGCACTTATTTTCTTTGTGCTTTGACACCTGCTTTAATGCTTCAGTGCCCACCTTAATGCTGATGCACGGCTAGTCTTTGGCCTTTTGGACATTCTAGTGACTGTTTTTTCTTTTTTGCCAGTGCTTCATCATTATGGCAGCAGTGCTCTTGGTGCACCAGTGCCTGAATCTAGATGCTAGAATGCCAAAGTTTGTTAGGAACCTCAGTATCCCTCCATTGCTGCTTACCACTTCGGTCTATTAGCCCAGTGCATCTCTCGATGCATTTATATCCTTTTTTTTTCTTTTGCAGGATATAGTAAGTAAGGAGGATGCAAGACCATGTAATGTCTTCAGACCTAGTCTGTGGTACAAAAGAATGACAAAGACTGAGCTCCATCTTTCTTATGTCATCTTCCTCAGATTGTAGGGGTCTTATATATTTGTAGATGGCACTGAAGAAGTGTGATGTACACCTCAAGCCTTTACTAAGGCACCTAAAGAGATTCCTGTAAGTCCAGCAAAGGGTAGACCCTGAAAGCTGAAGCCTGACTTCCCCAAGACAACTGAGGAGCAGATTGGAGTGCTAGTGCTACTGTACCAGACCCAGCATCAGTATGCACACCAGAGTGGTCTCACCACCAAAATACCCTGTGTCAACAACAGAAAGGCTCCAACAAGCATCACTGACAAGCAAATGTACTTTGAATGAGCTGAAAATCCTTACAGGAGGCCAAGGCAGGAAGCACAAGGTGTATTCTGGCAACTCCTTGATGCACTTCTGTTGAAGCCCCTCCCTCCAGGTGACTCTATAACAGGTCTCCAGATTTCCCATTCCCCCTGCATTAATGTACTTGAAGCAGAGATGGGGGGAAATAGTGAGTCCAGTATAAACTGGGAAATTGGACATAATCTGTCCTGATCCTCTGCAAGGCCCACAGTACTCACTTTTAAATATTCCCCTCTCTCTGTGTTGGCAGGGTAGGATCTCTTGGCATATTTGCATGCAAATGCCTCAAGGGTCAGCACTCTTGGCACAGGAAGCTCTGGCCTCAACACAGGTGCCTCTTGCATTAAAGGCTTCAGCACAGCTAGTGTTAGTGGCTCATGGAGCACTTACCACAATGCAGGCCACTCCACCACCATCCTGTCATCTAGACTACTCCACTGTTTGGATGAGAGCTGGCTGAAGATCAGGGCAATGAAGTCTGTTATTCAGATGAGCAGGACTCATCTGATGCCAAGTTCTTTTTTGTTCCAGAGGAGCACCAGCATAGTGACTGTGCAAGAAATGATCCTACATTTCCTTAGTCTTTACAGAAGCCAACACCACTGATTTTGAGTTAAAATCAGTCCAGGAATCTGAGGGAGTATTGCCTCCCACTCACTGGAACTGATTGAAAGATAAAGATGGCAGCATTTATACTTGGCAAGGGTGGCATGTGTCAGCCCATAGGGATTCAGCTCGAGCTCTACCTTGCTACCACTCTTTTAGGACTGGAAAGCTTTATCTGCTAAGAGAAATCTGTCAGTTTTGTACTAAGAAGCTAAAGCCCAGTAGTGAGAATCCTGCAAGATTATATCTTCAGAGAAGCAGAATTACAGGTAAGTAATTTACCCATACTGTTACCTTTCTTATTGCTTAGTGGTATTTCATATTTTCTAATTATTCATTTTAGATCTATTGTGATAAGTGATTAGGATTATTTAGGCTCAGTACATAATATTAAAACTGCCCCGCATCAACTTTTGTATGTGTATCTTTGTATTCCTGGTTTCGGATTTTTTCCCTAGAGCTCAATACATATACTTTATTGGGCAAGTTCCTTCTCATTCAGCACATTACCCATCTTTTTTGGAAGTTGTGTATCACCCTTCGTTTCTTCCATTTCCCCAATATTATCTCAGTTGTATGGACAGCAGAATTTCAAACACTTAAAATAAATGGATGTAACCATATGCAATAACAAGTCTGAGATATAGCAGCTTTTAGCGAAGTTAAAAGACATTACTCATAACCATACTTGTGTATGTTAATGATAATCACTAGATATCTGGACCCTTGTCTTTAAGTCCTAGGTGTGGGAAAGAAGCAATTTCTGAAGGGTTATAGTTCAAACTTATATAAAACATGAGGAATAACAGTGGTAAAAATGAGCAGTTAACAGTTAATATCTGTAACCAACATGACTGATAGCGGAACTTTTTCTGAAAGATGGTAAATATCCGCAAGGTGCTGAGTAGCTTCAGTTCCCATAAAAACATTTCTCAAAATCAGAAGCCATTAAAAATAAATGGCTATACACCTCTACCCCGATATAACGCGATATTAGTCCTTCACTGCACATCTGCACCCTGAATTTACATTCTATTTTCTCATCTATTTTCGGTTGTTAAAGTCCAATCCTACTCGCAGTGAGGGTTAATGGAAGTTTTCCTATTGGCTTCAATAGAAGTTGCATTGTACTCTTACACAGGTCCCATCACTGTAATATCTAAACTGCCTTAAAGGGATATTTAAGGGATAACTTTTACAACTTTCATGCTAACATGATATACACATTCCATCCATGAATATACAGTTTGGTTTACTGCACATGTGCTTTATCTTAAAATCTCATATGAAAAGGTTTCCTTAAAAATGTTCACATTTAGGAGATCTTCTTACAAGAGACAATGATTTTTATGGCCTCAGAAAGAGCATGGCAATTTTAGACAATCTAATATTTAACATTAATACACGCCCTATTTTCTGAGTACATATACACACAAACACATACACAACTCCCCCTTATCTATCAGTTTCTTATGTGTCTTTCTAGCTAGGTGCAAGTACTCTTTTTTTTTTAAGGTTGTCTTATTAGATATATCAGGCTTTGATATCTAGGTTAAAAACGCTCTTTCTCAGGTGCAGCTTTGGAAAGATCTAATCTGAGTATGTGAAATGCAAAATCTACTAAGGGAGGATGTATATGTTTCTTAATGGCAATAATTAGAAGAAACCTGGAGTATAAAAACTGGTGAAAACTCAATCATCCAACTTTCTTCCTTTGATCAGATGTAATCTATTTAACATGTTAATGTCATTTCAGACCCACCTTGCCAGACAGAGCTCAGCAACATTCAGAAGCAGCAAGGAGGAAAGAAGCTCCTAGGTGAGCCATAGATCATTCTTTTGAAGGTTTTATTGCTTACATAAATAACCCTAGTGAAACAGCTACATAAAATCAATATTAATCCAACAAAGATAGACCACGCTAAATTCCAGCAACAAAATTTATGAAGTTTTTGAAAGCTATTAAACTTAGTTTTATTACATTACCTACTGAAAGATATTACATCCATTTTATTACCCTGATAGACTGTACATTTTTACAGTTATTAGGAAAAAAGACTTAAGTAATCCTAAATTAACATTTTTGCTGATATTTAACTCTAATATTTATGTAAGTAATTGAAATCTTTGTTATGAAAAATTCCATATTGTACCAAAAATGTTTCATTTCCATAACTTTTATTTTGGATATAAAATCTAAATTTCAGCATTAGCAGTCTTTATAAAACCTGGAGTAAAAGACATAGGCAAACCCATCTGACATGTTAGTTTGAAATTACTCTGATTAAAAATATCTCATGCATTTTACAGTACTGACAATACATTTTAATTGTGATTTAGTTACCATTTACAGTTCTTCAAAGAACATCTGATTATTTCAAGGACAAAATTATTACAGAATTATTTTGCCTTTTACTTAAAAATAAAAAAATAAGGTTCTGATTCTATAACTCTATAATTGCTGTGCTTGCAATTGACCAGTTAATTTCAGTGGGGCTCTGTACAAGGGTTCATTTGCATGGTCCATTTGCCTAGATATTTTGTAAATATGAGTTAAATAGGCAAATAAATGTAATCTATTATCAACATTTTAGTGTTACAGTATTTAGCTTAAGGTTCCTAGTTCACTAAAAAACTACTATTCTGTTTTGGTGAAATTAAAAATCTGAAGAACTGCAAGCATCCAAACCAATGACTAGCATGGCTAGGATCCAGGGGTGAAATTCTGACCCCATTGAAGTCAGTAGCAAAACTCCCATTGACAAGATTTCACCCAAGCTGTGACTACCATTAATTAGGGCAGTTCAGTAAGACATAGTGTGACTACCAAGGTAGAAAAACCTAAAAAAATGTGTCTGTTAAAATAAATATATAGAACAAAAATCATATTCATTCATTGCTAAAAACTCCCATACTTGTACTTTAAAGAGTGTGTCTACTCTGAAAAAGTACTACATAAAAATGTGCCCTCTTCCTTCACAGGTTTGCTCTGTGAGCATATTTCAAATCACAGGTGCTTACTTTAGTCACAGAAATACATGGTTTTTTGTTTTTGCTTATCTTAGCACTGCATTATCAACACAGCTTTGGGAGAATACGATGAATTCTATACTTTCTTTTGAATCACCACAATAGTTGACAGCGATTACATCTATACTGAAGTCAGAGATGTGTCCGAAGTATGTGTAGACATACCCAAACTAGCTTTGATCTACCTCGCTCGAGTAACAATAGCATTGAAGCCATGGCAGCACAGGTTGCAGAACTTAACATTTAGACATCTGAGCTACTCCCTATCTAGCCTGGCATCAACATATGGCGTTCAAGATTTTGGCTATGTCATTCAGGGACTCTGATGTATAGTAAGAAGCAGATGTCAGAGAATTAATGAGGAGCTTGAAAGAGGAAAGAGGATAATGGACTGGGCATATCCATTCTTGAGATCAGTCAAAGAGAGGCTCACATATTTGATATCTGCTCTCCCTCTATGAATAAGGAGGAAGGGGCAAATGTATTACGTATAAAACTCTTCTTGGCTGACCTCAGTAACAGAGTAAGTCAATCAGGGAGGACATTGAACAGAGATAAGACATGGTTGTTTATTTTTTATTTCACTTCTGGTGTAATGTAGAATATTGGTTTATTCTGTACAGGTGACTGCTAATGTTATAATTTAATCTTTATGTATCATAGGGCAGTACATCCCATTATGTGATGAAGATGGGTATTACAAACCAAGTCAATGCCATGGAAGTGCAGGGCAGTGCTGGTGTGTTGACAGATATGGTAATGAGGTAACAGGCTCCAGAACAAATGGTGCTGCAGACTGTGGTAAGTGGAAGAATTCTTGCTCATTGTTGAATTAGACTCTCTCTTTCCTTTGAAGTCAGTGGTCAAGCTCTTAATGTCTTTAGTGACAATAGGACTGGGACCAAACAACACAGATTTAGAAGTCAATTTGTAATTATTTTTATTTATTCATTTCACTAATTTCTGTAGCGTCTATCATGCTGATAGTTATAAATAGAGACAGCCTATCTACCAAGTAATGTGGATAGTGCTTATTCTGCTCTGAATAGGATAGTTAAAATAAAGCACTACCAGCCCCAGCAGTACCTGATAAAATCAAGTTGGGTACCCAGCATTCTATTGAACTCAACTCAACAATTCTTTAATTACGTAAGTAAAAGAAATCACCTCTCTCTTAACCCCAATCAAAGTGCTCACTAAAGAGTAGCTTATATCTCATAATTATTTAAATTGACACCCCACAATTTGAAGCCAAAATGGAAGTTTTACACTTGCAATTTAAGACTAAGAAAAAGCCCTGGCACTGGAACAGTGGGCTAATATACACAGTAAAAGGAACATAAGAATTGCCATACTTGATCATACTCAAGGTCCATCTAGTCCAGTATCCTGTCTCTGACAAAGGCCAGTACCGGGTATTTCAGAAGGTGATGTAGGAACCCCACAGTAGGCATATGTGGATTTAACTGCCCCCCTATATTAGCCTCATCCTGATCTCTAATAGTGAGAGATTAGCTTGAACCATTTCCATCCAAAATATTGTTATCATTAATGCTAACTTTGGATATTCTTGAGCGCCAGATAAATATTTAATCCTTTTTTAATCTTAATGAGTTTGTGGCCTCAACAACTTTGTGGCAGTGAGTTCCACAGTGTAATTATACAGTGTAAAAAAAGTAGTTCCTTCTGTGAACATCAGGAACTATTGATATCAGTGGTATTACTTTTTTACTTTACCTCATTATTTAATTTAAATCAACTGACCTAAAGCCAGCTAGTTCTATAACCATGCGTTCCTATCACTATAGTATAATTTTTACACTTTTTTTTTAGCTATTGATTTAGAGATCTCAGGCGATTTTGCCAGTGGTGATTTTCATGAATGGACAGATGATGAGGATGACGAAGATGATATAATGAATGATGAAGATGAAATTGATGATGAGGATGATGATGAGGATGAAGGCGATGATGATGTGGATGATGACGATCATGATGGATACATTTGACAATATTAGAGGTCAATGAATTCTTCCTTTCTAAAATTCAAAAGGTGACATCTCATAGAAAATTCCTTTGCTCTCCAAGATCAAAAGGATTCTAAACAACATGTATATTTTGTATGATTATTTCAAATATTGCAGCTGGAGTCATAGACTTTCTTTGTTTAAATAAGAATCATTATATTATGTGCTTTTGAGTTTTTATATGCCTTTGAGCAGAAGAAAACACATTGGAAGTCTAGCCTGAAGAAGGAAATGTGATGTGCTACTACAAAAATAAATGTGCAAGGACAACCAAACTTTTAAAAACTTCCATGAAAATGATATTGTTTGGAACTTTGGGTGGCCTCATTAAACATGAGTTCAGTTATATGTTAAGGCGGCTTTCACTTTGCAAGTGATTTAGGCCATGTAATAGATTTCATAATTGTGCATGACCTGAATCGACAACTTATTACAATAGAAATTTCAACACACAAGTAGCATCTCGCAAACCTTTAACCAGAGGTGTGCTGTGACTGTCACATAGGAGAAAATAATGTTAGGCCCTCCTTTGTGTTTGCATTTATAGTTATATTTTTTATTAGGAAATGTCTAGGTTCTTGAAAGGATGTTTATCAAAAGCAGTAAACATGGACAAGTATTGATTCTACAAATCTAAACTTTTGTTGTCCTTTTTTTCATTTTTCTTTTAATGTCAAACTCATATAGACTTCGTTATTTACTCAAGCAGCATGATGATTTTACCCTTTTTTATTTCTATATCTCTAACAAGAAGATTAGCATAAAATATTTTAAATTGAAAAACTTTGTGTAAAATATAGTACATTTAAACATTACTGTACTTGAGAGTACTGGAACTTTCCCCAAGACAGTTCTAACCCCCCCTAATCATACCACTTAGTTTTTCTATTTCAGAAAATAGTTTTCATCTTTATCTTAATTCAACTCCTTTTCTGTTATTAGTGCAGAAATTTAGAGAACGTATGGTAAGGTGCCTTGCAAAAATAGAAATAGAGAGGTTTTAGCATGCATACCAATATAGGCTGTTAGGCAATAGCTAAGCACACCCAATTACCAAATTAATACCAGTATAGGTACTGCTGCTGGAATGAAGAAAATGGGTTATTTTAATTTTTTCTATTGTTATGTAATTACCATGTGGACTAGCTTATGATTATTGTGTAGAGTAGCACTTAAGATTTGACTGTAGAGAAAATTACTTTAATCACTGTATTTATGTTAGCATGTTAATTAATTGTGTAGACGTTTTGGAACTCCAACACCTTCATGCATATCAGACCTATATGGCTTTTTGCCCACAATAAAACTGAAACAACCTATGTAATATTACACGACTGATTGTGTAATTTCAACAGGGGATCACTGGTTTCCCTGATTTCCATCTGCAGTTAAATGACAGGAAAATCAATTTATTCTTTGCATTTGATTTCTACACATTTAAATACTAAATTTAATGTTTATCTTATGTAATATTAAAAAGTATAATGCATTTTCTTTTTTACTGTTATGTATAGTTTGCAAAATAAAGACTCTTGTAACCAACCTTTAGCTGTATACTGTAATGATTTTTAACAGTATAGACTAGTAGTTTGAAGTTTTGTATAACTTTTTCTGTTGAAAAATCAGAAGCTCTCATGTTTCAGATACATTCCCACAATCATTCAACTATTCAACTTATGTAGAGCCATTTATTAGTGTTTCATTACATTTCAAGAGATAAGTTTTGGATCAAGACAAAACCCATAAGAAAGATTTTTTTTAATTTGCTGTATATTTAGAATTTAAGATTATTGTTTTGTCTTTTCTTCATTATATGGTAGCTAATGTTACATTTGTTTCTTATAGACCTTATCCTAGTATGAGGGACATAGACATGTTATTTTCTTAAATAAATATAGTTAAGAGTTTACCATAACTATACTGACTGAATTTCACCAAGAACTGATTCCTTGGGAGTGGAATAAACTTCTATATATAAAAATGATTTTGAATAAAGAAACTAAAGCTAAACAGTTGTGATTATTGTCTGATACAGCAAATACTGACTGCTCTGTTTCCTAATGTGACAAATGAATATTGGCTGACAAAAAATTAGAGATGCATTTCATGCAGCTCGTGCTGCTGCTAGGAGAGTTAAGCAGCATATAATAGCACATTTATAATGTGTTTAACCATTGAACTTTAATGGGATTATAGTATAAAACTATTCTATAGTTAAAGTAATGCAAAGAACACTGTGGGCTAAATTCTTTCTTCCCTGTGTATTCCATGTTGATCTTAATAGGAGAAGGGGATATCAGCACAGATTTAATCCTTCTGCATGATAATTGCCAGCAGATACATTGTTTTACAGAAATAATAAAGATGGTTTAATTCAGTCAAAGACAGCAACAATGAAGGTTCAAGGTTATTTAGGAGTATTTCCTTGGTGCAAAACTACCAACAACAAAAAATTACCCAACCTTGAACTGTTCCCTGTTCATCAAGAACAGCTGAATGAAGGATTGGAAACATTAAATCACTCTTGATACACATTACCATTCTTTATTTTGCTATATTGACTTTGTTATATATATATATATATGTATAGCATAAAGAAATACAGTATACTAATGGCCTCTCCGCACATTATGCAGTGGGGGCATTTTGTTGGAAAAAGTGTGTGCTCCTTTAAGGGCTAGAGAGCCAACTAATGACTTTCTGATGCAGCTACAGACAAGGTCAACATGGGAATGCTGACCCATGCCCCCTCCAAGGACCAGAAAAGAGTGATGTGATGTGATGTCTAAAAATTTGAAGTCCTTAGTGGAAATGGACCATATTGTAATGAAAAAGATTACACGGGAATTAAATGAGAATAGGGTAGCACGGCCATTCAGTGAGTTATCTAGATAGAACTTGCGGGTTTCTCCCCTAGGTTTAGTCCCTAAGAAAGCTCCTGGTGAATATTACTTAATTCACCACTTGTCAAACTCACGGGGTAGCTCAATTAACAATGGAATAGATCTGGCTTTGTATTCTGTATGCTATTCCTCCATTGAAGAGGCTGTATGCAAGGTTATGTCTTGTGGCCCGGGGTGCTGATGGCCTAATGCGATAGCAAGTCTGCTTTTTGTCCGCTGCCTGTGCAGCCTTCTGCCTTCAACCTTTTGGGTTTCTCTTTCATAAAACTATGTCCATAGGCTGTGTAATATCCTGTTTGGCATTTGAGAAATTTTATCCAATGCTACAGTGGTCAGTAATGTGGAAAGCTGGTTTACAGCAAATAATGCATTACATACAGGACTTTTTGTTCATGGACAGGATGAATTTGAACAAGTGTGCTAAGCTGATGGACACTTTTCAGGCCCTTGCTAAAAAATTGGAGGTACCCCTAGTGGGGAAAAAAAATAAGGGGACCTTCCACTACACTAACCTACCTGGGGATTGAGCTAGACGCTGGCAGGTGTATTTCAACTCCATCAGGAGCTACTGGCCAAGAAAGTTACACTCCATGAGCTGCAATCTATTATTGGGCATCTTAACTTTGCTTGCTGGATGCTAGCCCCAGGGCGGGCATTTTGCACCCAGCTTGCAGTGGCCACTGTAGCCATAGCAAGATCTCACCATTTCATAAGTTACTACAGAGATGGAGGAGGGTTTGGGGATGTGGGAACAGTTTCTGAGCCATTTTAATGTAATGTCATTATGGAGGGAGGAATGAATACTGGAGGCTGATTTAAAGATCCACTTGGATGCTTTGGGAAGTATGGGTTTTGAGGTATTTTACCAAGGCCAGTGTTGTGCCCAGAATGGGCCTCTATCTGGACGCAAAAAAGGGGTGGTGCAGGATATAATATTGGTGGAATTTTTTCCCATTTTGGTTGCAGTGGTCATTAGCAATCCGACGACAGGGGCCGTCAACCATCTCCACTTGCCTACCAGCCCTTACATTTGTCAGTAGGCTGAACAGTTACCCAGATCCTTGCAGTAGTATTTAGTTCAGGGGCAGGCAAACTTTTTAGCCTGTGGGACACATTGGGGAATAGAAATTGTATGGCGGGTCATGAATGCTCACAGAATTGGGGTTGGGGTTCGGGAGGAGGTGAGGGCTCTGGGGTGGGACTGGGGATGAGAAGTTTGGTGTAGGAGGGTGCTCTGGGCTGGAATTGAGGGGTTTGGAGAGGGTTATCAGGGCTGGGGCAGGGGGTTGGGGAGAGGCTCAGGGATGCAGCGGCGCTTATCTCAAGCAGCTCCCGGAAGCCGTGGCATGTCCCTTCTCTGGCTTCTAGGCATGGAGCAGCCCCTGACTCTTGGAGCAGGGCCATAGCACGGCTTCTGGGAGCTGTGTAGTGCAGCCCCACACCGAGCGCCCCAGCTGGAGCACCGGAGTGGGGCCAAGCCGCGTGGTGCGGGCCCCCACCCGGCTCCCCAGCAGGAGCTTGTGGGCCAGCTTAAAACGGCTTGTGGGCCGTATCTGGCCCGCAGGCCATAATTTCCCCACCCCTGATTTAGTTTGAAGGTTTCTAGCTGGATGGTCTTGAAGCGCCAGCCCTAGAATGATAAACATCATCCCGTCACTGTTAATATGCTTAGGGCTCTCATGCAGATCCTGGAACCCATATGTCGATGTGGACAGATAGTGCCCTTCTTCAGGATGACATTTCTGGTAGCATTTTTGGAACTTTTGGGATAAAAGTGAGCTAGTACCTGGGTCCTGTAGGTATTCTTGAAGAGCTTTGGATCTGAGGGATATACACGAGGAGGAGTTATATTAACCTTGAGGAAGTCAGACGTATCAGGGAGGCCAGGGTGAATCCATTATTCTACAGTAGGGTGGCGAGCCCGGGATCTACCCTGTGGAGGCTGTGAGGGCATACATGATGATAAGACCAGGGAGGAATGAGCCCCTCTTTAGTCACGGTGACAGGAATTCCCTCAGAACATTTTCAAGACAGAGACTGATAAGGTCGGGGATCCCAGCACGTGAATTTGGTTTCCACTTGTTTAGGCATGAGACAGCAACAGCAGCAACCCAGCTGTGTATAGGGGCTAAAGTAATTTGGGCAATTGGGCATTAGCGTTCTGAAGCATAGAGAATGTCCATGGGAACCCAAGTGGGGGAATCCATGTTAATTTTCCATGGTGTTTCATTCATTCAGATGCGGGCAAATAGGCCAGGCACATGACGGTGTGGATCTGTGGGCACAGTATTGTTTACTGGGCTCATAGGTAGGCTTCCAGGCTGTCTGAAGGTTTGCAATGGGGCCTCAGTGGTGATTAGGGTGACCAGATGTCCCGATTTTATAGGGACAGTCCCAATATTTGGGGCTTTTTCTTATATATACATTTATTAGCCCTCATCCCTTGTCCTGATTTCTCACACCCTATCTTGTCACCCTAGTTGTGAAGCAGTCCTGAGCTGGAATGGGAGGAGGGGCATGTTATGGGACCAGTTGATGCCCTTTCCATAAATGCTGGAACTAAGGGTGCTGGGGGTGCTGCTGCACTTCTTGGCTTGAAGTGGATTCCATCATATCCAGGGTTTACAGTTTGGTTCAATGGCTCTCAGCACCTCCTCTATGCAAATTGTTCCAGCATGTTAGCATATAGGCTTGTTTGTCAGCCTGAGATAGAATTTTGGGTTTGAATTTTTGATACTCTTGTATCTTATACTAATATGTGTGAACAAAGGATTCTTACTAAAAACAAAGACAGACGCTGTAAATGTTGCTTTTGCCTAAACCAGATGGCTTTGTTAGTATGATGGAAATAGGTAAGAGCAGGTAAAGTGTTACTGGGCATAGTGGGTATTAATATATGAATGCACACTTGAAAACTGCCTCAATTCCTTATCTCAAGGCAAGGTCAAGCAACCAATTGGGAGAGGCAAGGGGTATGGGGGGAAGGTAAAACACTGAAAGACCAGAGAAATGCCTGCCCCGACCAGATTACAACCTCACTCCTTACCCCTCCCATGGGATACAAAAAAAGTGGGATGAAGACCCCAACTCATGACCCTCCTAAATGGAACATGACTATCAATTGTAAGGGGTGTGACTAGGAGTACGCACTGCAGGTATAGTTGGTCCTGCTAATGAGGAGGAGGTGGGAATTGGGAATGAGAGCTATGAAGGGGGATATGGGGTCAAGGCTCTGTGGCATCAGAGCTGAGAAGAGGAATATGGGGTAAAGGCTCTGTGGTGTCAGAGCTGGCAGAATGGAACACTGGCAAACAGACTACCAGCATGTAGAGCTATGGATATGTTGCTTGGAACTAACCCCAATAAAAGTTACATTGATTGCACTTTGGACTTCTGGTCTTCTGCTTTCTGTCTGTGTGACAAGCACCAGGGGAGAGGGTGAAGGGAAAGCCCTCTAACATCTTGGTGCCGTGACTCGGATGCATCACGTTGGACAGGTAATTAGCAGCCAGGGAAGTCCCCCTCCCCAACAGTCCACATAGCTGCTTGGAGGGGGTATGGTGGGCTCTCATGATGGTAGTTGTGGGTCCTTGCAAGCTGGGGTAATGGTCTTTTTGGATAGGTGGATACAGAAGAATC